ATTCGCTATGCTTAAAATCGTGAATGACAGTAGTTTCGTGAGATTGATCCTTCAACACATCAAATGGAGAGCCAGGCCACACTCATACTTCCGAAATAATGTTCAGGATGATCAAAGAAGCATAGATCTGTCATACTTATTGCAGCGAGCAGCATAAATTGTGTAAGAATACTACGCATGTGTAAAGAAAAACCTCATCAGATAATTAACATCATCACTTAATTATGACTTGAAAGTAACTCCTGTTTCTTCTGTGCTTTCTTAATTTTTACACCCCGACCACCAGACCAACTCTATCGTGCGCGTTACATCGGCTGCTTAATAAATCATCATCTAGTGGATCTTTAATTGGTTAGCTAATCGAAGAACATTGTATCCTTAACGGACAAATTGAAGTTCGCCAGCGAATTGTTGCCAGGCCCCTACCTACGGGTCTAGTCCACCATTTTCATGCGCTGTAAGGTGGTTGGAGCTGTCACTCACAGGCCTTTCTAGTGAAGCATTATTATTAATAGAACAATGACAATAATATTTGATTTTACCACTGAGTGTGGTAGCCACTGTGGAATTCGCTGGTGCTTTGGGTTCCAGTACTGTGTCCATTTGTGTATCATTCATATCATACAGTCTGGTAATTTCGATTCGCTGGGAATTCCCACTTATAGTAGAAATAAAAACTAACGCTACCTCGATTACTCGATACACTAAGTTTATTACTATCGATCTGATTATAAGTGGGATATTAAAAACACATCGGCATATCTTTACAAGCAAATCTGTGAAATTCTTGGTGTATCCAGGATGACCCTGAACCAAAAGCAAGGAATGTTCCTGTGTAGTGAAGCATTAATATTAATCAATAATGGAGTGGACTGTTAGTAAGCGTAGGGTATGGGCATGTATATCCTCCGTTCTCAGTTGTTTTTGGCAGCTGCTGGATCCCAACTGGGGGAATGGGGCTCCGTGTTTATGTGCTAGCTAGTTATTCGCTAGCTTGCGTTGAATTTAAAAAGCAAATACTTGTCTGTTTATTTAATGGGGGAAAGAGGAAAAGAAAAAAGAAAAATTAATGTGCCCCAGTATGAGAAGTCCTGTGTTTGTCTTGATTCAATCGTGGTGGGTATAGTGGCTACTGTTAGACATGGTTCTCATTATTTCTGAATTCCAGGTCTAGTTTTGTCGCTTTTACCAGTTATGTCAAACAATTAGCTTCTATCTCTCCAACATTATGCACTTTAATCACTTGATCCTTTGAACCCCAAAAATATTGAACCTGTTCGAACCAGATGCACTGGACACCAACAAAAAACACACAAGTCGCAACCCCTATGTAGCTATATGGACCATACCTATGCTTATGCTCTGCTTTGTTGTTGGCCTTTATCTTCTGCCCTTTCTGTTTCCTCCATGTCGTCCTAGGCTTTTTCTCCTTCTTTTATTATTACTACTCCTATTTTTAATATAAGAATTAGTTTGATATTTAATTTAGTGCTAAATATAAAATTCTAATTCACTATCTCTTATATTTATTCATTTTTTTAAAGTAATCTTTGTAGTAATTGTACATGTTAAGTATTTCATCAAATTGTAATTATACTCAATACACATGACTAACAAGGGTATTTTAAGGAAAACAACACCTATTTATTACAAATAACTAATTTTTTTAATTTACTCAAATCAATCAACTAATTCTTATATTAAGTAGTAGTAGTATTATTAACGTTATTGCAAGGGCGACCGTTTTGCTCGCATGACAAGTGCAAAAGTTCCCGCCTATATATGCCAATTAATCCCGTTTCCAATCATAGTTGCCAACGTATCTTAGTGTTAAGACTTCCTATCTGCCTCATGAGTAATTTATATTGTGTTGAATGACTAATTCTGCAACTAAATAATTAATTAATGTTGAACCTAATTAATTTAGGAAGTTTTATAAGCAATTCATGTTCACGCTACTGCTCGCTAATTAGTTACGTTTCATCCTTTCCGATTGTATGCGATTATGTGAGCTCGAAGCGAAGGGGTAGCATGTATGTTTATATGGTAGTAGTTTTTTAAAATAAGGAGGAAGAAGGAAAGGTAGTGGAAGGAGAGAGGGGACGGGGGTTACGCTGTAAAGAGAAAATGATTGATGAAGAGGAAGAAACATTGACCAACATTCCGGGGCACTTATTGGGATACTTGCAAGGGCCTTGCTCATTGTTGATGAAGGGCATCAATATTCTTTCTGACTCTAACAATCGGCCCCCCCCCCCCAAAAAAAAAAAAGTTTTGGAATGTACATGTTGAGACCCATCTTGTCCACATTTGAGCCGTAAAAGATAAGTTTCATTCATAGTGCTCAACATGCGTATCAAACCTTGATTTCTTTGATCCCCAAGTCCAGGCCAAATAAATCTGCTACCCAAGTCTTTTCTTTTTTTTCCCCCTTCTTTTTCCTTTTTTCACAAAGCGTACTGATAAGTAAACAGCTGCTTCGAGTCAGATCAGTGAGTGGTAAGTGGTTAAAATTTCAATTCCTGTATCCTTTACGTGTAGATCAAATCTCTTTTGCCAGCACAGTACATATACCTCATTGAAGGGAGCAAGTGCCACAAAATGATAGTTTTAACTGGTCACAGTATGATGGTTCAGGCAATCCGGATACACGTAAGTGGATCATTATTATCACAGGTGATCATGGCCTTAAAACGAATCTGGATTTAGTGAATTTTCTTGTTGCTTCTGCTTCTGAAACAGAACATGCTAGCTAGCTAGGGTTCTGTTTATGAAACTACGAAGAGACGGGGAGAGTTATTACGTTTTAGTAAGTCACTCATAAGACTGAACAAAAGCCTGTGTGTTTTCTCCCCATAATTGAAAGAAAGAAAATGAGATCGCAGCTAGCTTAGTTAAACTTCACTGGAACTTTAGTGGCTTTCTTTTGTCTTCCTTTTCATCCTGTCTCTTTGCTTTCCCCCCTCCTTATCTTCGCTTTTTTATGTCACTGATCTGTTTAAGATCAGGCATGGTGTTTGTCAATCATCACTTTTTGTGCTGAAATGACTGGGAAACTGAACTTTGCCTTTGTCTGTCTCTCACTTTACGTACGCCTCACAGCGTCCTATTCTCAGCTCTCTGTTTACCAACGCCCTCCTCGTTATTGCTATTTATACATGTGTGTGTGTGTGTGATGTCATGTATGCGCAAAGCATTCCTAATAAAATCAAAGTCGATGGAGTTCCTACTTAGTTGTCGTGACATGCTGAGAATCTTTTGCTCTCCCCACCGTGCATTTGCATTCCAAGTGAGGACACTAGCAAATGAGTTGATGCATGTGGTGTTGTATTACTATTTTTTTAACCTTTTGTTTTCTATTTCTACTACTATTATTATTCCCCATTTCATTGTATTTTTTAATTTTTTCTACCAGCAATTGTATTTTTTAATTTTAACTTTAACTTTTTTTTTTTTTGGTATTCATACAAAACAAGGTGTTTACAGTTATAATTATATAAAATCAAATCAAGGGTGAAACAGTAACACCAAAACAAGATCCGTAGAAATTTTAGGGTGAAAAGTGGAATTTTGCCCAAAAGTTGCGGCCAATATGCAATTAAATACTACTACCTCTGGTCCTAAATATTCATCCGGTCCTTAATACAAGACCCATTTAACTAATTGATTAGGTTAAGAAAGTTAGGTAATTATAAGAAAAGTGACACATTTTTCCTAAAACACCATAATCATTTTTCTTAATATCCCCTCTCACTCTTCTACTTAATTATGGTTGAGGGAGTATCCATAGGGGTAATTTAGAAAAAATTGATAAATATGAAAAATGGGTCTTATATTTAAGACCAAAACCAACTCAAAAATTGGATCATATATTAAGGACCGGAGGAGTATAAGGGTTGATTGACTAATTTGAATAGATTAAGAAAATAAGTTAAGTTAGTTATTTGTAATAAATAAGTGGTCTTTCTTAAAATATCCTTGTTAATCAAATTTATTAGCTAGAACTATTGTTATTAAAAAGATCATCTTAAAAAAATAAATAAATATTAGAAACAAATTAGATTGTAATATTATATTTAAGATTAAAATAAAAGATAATTAATCCACAGCTCCTTATAGTTTTAACTAATTTTGAATCGGGTTCTTATAATTTTTTTCTTTTTATCAGGTCCTTATACTTTCACCTGTTTTTAATTAGGTTCTTGTATTTATTTTTCTTTTTATCAGGTCCTTATAAGTTCACCTTATTTTTAATTAAGTCCCTGAATTTTTTATTCTTTATTTTATAAATTCTAATAGTACTATTATATAAACATAAAATAGTATATATTATTTAATATTAGTTTATAAACAATAATATTCTAAAGATATTGAATTATTATAATGATTTTAATTTTTTCAGAAAAAAATTAATTGTTCTAAAAAATATTCCTGAATTAATTAATTCTATTACTTTTTTATTACATAATTATTAATATTTTATATTTCAGTATTAATCTATTTAATTAAGTTTATATTTAATTAATAAATAAAAATTAAAACTACATGGATCTGATTAAAAATTTAGTTAAATTATAAGGACTTAATTAAAAGAAAAATAAATACAAGGACTTAATTAAAAAAAAAAGTATAAGGACCTGATAAAAAGAAAAAAACTATGGGGATCTGATTTAAAATTCGTTGAAAGTATAAAGACTTGAAGATTAATTAACTCTTAAAATAAAAATTAAACAAGATTTTATATAAAGACAGGAGATATTATTATTATTATAAAAAAATTTTTTGGTATAGGACAGGAGATATTATTATGCGTGAGGCATAAGACCATCCGCCTCCGGCCCTTCACTTATTGGGCTTTCTATGGGCCGTTAAAGAAGACTAGTCAAGGGTCTTAAATTTGATATCTAGGCCAGCCCCAAAATAGCCGAATAAACGGACCCTGTAAACGGAATTGTACCACCTCCGAGAATATATAATTTTTGAAAGAAGCGACCAAGTAACCATCTATGGCGGGAGCGGGAAGTGATCCACAAAAACAATTCTTGAGCCTTATTCGCAATTTCGCCGCTGAGAAATCTCAGGGAGGTATTCGGCGTCTTTGTGCTTTCCTTTAATTGTTTGTTTACGGAGAGAGTCCTGAAACAACAGCACGATTATCTTTCTTTCTTCTTCTTTGGTTTTCCCCCCCGTCTCATTCTATATACTCTCAATATTTCCATTTCCGAAAGAACAACTAAATCTCCCAAGTTATCAGATTACGAAATTAAGCAATATATGATCTACTCCAGTTATTAATGTAGTAGAATCAGGCTTTTGAGGCTTGTATGAAGTTAGATTTCTCTCCGCTTTACATATCCTTAATAATCAGACATGCTTATATATGTATCATCTCTATGTTTACATGCACTGAAATGCGCAGAGCGAAGAGTAACTACGCTGAAAAAGCGAATTGAGGAACTTAAATCTGAACTTAGCGCGACCAATGCGGAGTTCGAAAATGCCAAAGGCAGCAAAGAACTCGGTGAACAGGAGCTTAAAGGCTATGAAGTTCAACTATTCCTGAGTGAAGCGTCGGTTCAAACACTTGAGGTTAATTACCTTATATTTTACGTCAATTATTATGAAATTTCCTTGCGACATAAGTACAGTCTTCGTTGGAAAATGTTCTGAACCATTAAACGTGATGATAGTCACGGGTATCTCTTACTCAAGATGAGATTTCTATTGTTGGATCTCATTTGGAAATTCTCAAGGTATTCACGATCTTTGCTGTTTTTCTATTGTTTGCTTATTAAATCTGGATTATGCGTTCGTATTCTCACACTGTTCACAACTTTACATCAAACCTGCGTTTTCTGGAACTTGTGTCTGGCATATGGATTTCCAAAGAATGAAGAAGCAGCTTTACGGTAACTAAATTTCCATTTCTATTGTCTAGCTTTCGAGAATAATCTTTTCTATTAACAGATTTCAGATTCTCGCATGCGATTTGAAATTTTCTGACCTCTTTGCAGTGAGGAATTCATCGGTCGTATGCTTGAGTTGAATGCTAGGATAAGGTTGATCTCCTTTCTAAACTTGTCTTATAATATTCATTTTTGTTGTACTTCTGCCATCTGTTTTGTTCTGTTCCTCATAAAGTCAGGTATGCATATGAATAGAAAGCGGATTGATCAGTTTTTGATAGGCGAATACTGCTGACTGCACATCTGCTACAAACATTGAGGTCTTCCTGTTACAGGCCTCTCTGCATATATGCAGTGACCAATCTTGGGTCTTGGCTCTTTCTCTTAGAACTGTGCACTGCCAATTGGCCTTTATTGTTTATTCTTGGTGAAGTTTGAAGATATCTTCTACGCGTAAACATTTTTTATTTGCTTGTCCGATATTTGGAAAACTATTTTAGTATTTAGGCCTACTAAAATATAGTTTCTCTATCAATAAAATCGAACTGTTATTTTAAATCCCATAATTAGTTCATCTGGTCAACCAGTCGTATCAGTCTTTGAACTTGGGCAAATAGTCTTTGACTTTGGTGGTTTGCAAGCTACTATTTCTGTATTTATACTGCATGATGTTTGAAATCTATTACTGCAATTCAGCCTCAACCGCCTAAAACCTATATAGGCAAGCTAAAAACTCACTGATAAGATATTCTTTTATTTGACACAGAACTGCGCAAAATTCTCTTCAAGTTACCGTCATTTAAGTTTTGAAATTTTACAATACGGTCATTAATCCTTTAATAAATGCAGGACATTCCAAGAGAACATTACTTGCAACATTGATGCCGTAGATTCTGCAACTCCTACAGGTTCTGCAACTCTTTCAATGTTTTTGACGTTGCCTCTTGACTATTGTTAAAACTTTTTTTTCCAGTCTTCTTTTGGGTCGCCGCATGATAATTTTAAGAATGATCGCGTACAGAAATCTTTAGGTTATATTTTCTCGAAATAGAACCAGTACTATTAAAGAAAAGAAGAAAGTGAGTAGCAGGAAACTAGAGGATAGTGTACTATCGATAGGGAGTCGAGAGAAGAAACAAGGGGATCAAGGACAAAGTATGAAAAGTGGGGAGAGGTTTTTACTACTCTCTTTCCCTGTTTCCTTCCTCCTTAGCAATGTTAGTCTGACATACTGATTTTGCTTGGAGTTTGGACGGCTTTAAAAGATGTCCCCATCGTTCGGATTCCTAACTCTCAATTGCCAGCATTTGAACATGGAATAATTTACTCTAATGAGATTTCATGCTTTACTTTCACGTATTCCTCCTATTATCACTATTCCAAGGATGCAGATATTGATATATTAAAAGATCAATCTCAACATAAACGTCATATGATTTATTCATAATGCTGTTTTTAAGACCTTGCTGTCGATTGCATGAACTCCAACTTTGCCGTCAGAGGTTGATGCTTGCATTCCCCCCCACTTTTCCCTTTTCAAAATTCTATTTCGCTTGAGCCCAATCATTTGCAATTTAAAAGTCTCGTTTGGATATTTGATATATTTGGATTTTGTTTTAGATGCGTCACAAGGAATCATGAAAGATGACGATACCAAAGGTGCTTTAAGCGCTCTTAAAAATATGCTTGCAGAGATTATATCTCAAACGGCTAAAGAGGAAGAGGAATATAAAACAGAACAGAACACTCACAAGAATGTAAGTGGAGAATCAAGTGTTCGAAAGTTCAGTTCCCCCCCCCCCGGGTCATATCCATATTTCCTTTATTTTATTATTTATTTATTTATTTTTGCTCCTTAACGTGATTATCTGGCACTGCCTGCAGTTGCTACAGGAGTTGAACAATTCTGAAAGAAAGCTGTCTCTATTGGACACCATTGTCCAAGAAACAAAAGCATTGCATGATTTGACGATATATCCTTATTAATACTACATTAATATTCTGAATGATTAAATGTCACTCAGCTGAAGAGAAAAACAAGGCCCATCCGATCAGGATGTAATCAATGTTATTAGTGGTATAGGCAGGTCATCTCTGATCTATAAGGGCGCTCTTTTGATCACAAATATGTCATCTCTGATCTATAAGGGCGCTCTTGTGATCACAGATATGATATTAAATTAATTCGTGGGGTTAATATTCATATGAAATTTAATGAATCTGGATATGTTTTCTTTTTTTTCCACAAGTTGGATGCCTAGAAACTGGAGGCATGGAAAACTTGATTGGCATAAGAAGATGGATCACCAAAATCCAGAAGTTCAATATTTTAACACCTGTAAAATGAAATATCGTCTCATTAGTTGTTGGCGCACGTGGTTATGTTGCTTTATGTTTCCTTTTTAAACTCTTTCTAATATAAGTTAAACTAGTTCTTCATATTTCAATTCTATCATTGGAAACATACATTTCAATTGCTATGCATAATCGAATCTGCTGAATTATGCCTTTAACTGAAAACAAGCAGACTTCTAAGTTAGAAGCAACATGCAGTTCTCTTGGCGAGGAGTTCCAAAGAAAATGCATCTGTCCCAACTGCCATCTGGACAATTCGGAGACTGTCAGTGAACTTTTTCAGCCAAACAAGTGAGAAGAGCTGATCTTCAGTAAGTAATATAACTAATCAAATATTTGGAACTTTGACATACTGCAACGAGACTGAACTTTATTCACCTTGTATGGTCTAATTGCATAAAAAAGAAATGGGTTGTGAAAAAGAGTGCGCTGCTTGTATTAGTAACATTTTGTTTTGGCCATTGTCCAACGGGGCCATTGAAAGTCGCCAAAATATTACATAATGTACTTCTCTTGCCTTGGTAAGTTCCGTCCACCGCATTAGCAGAGTACGATACATCTGGATTCTCAGAGTCGACGGTATATCTTTAGTCTCATCCTATCTTCTGTCCCAGAAAAATTTGGGTTGGAAAAAACCTAGGAAGGAGATCTGAGTCGCTTTATTGATATACGGAGTCTGGGTGACATTCTGGTTAATCAGTTTAATCTACAATTTTGCTTGAATTAGCTGCCTTCTTTGTCCTTTGTTAACAATGACAGTAATGTAGATTTGCTCTCTTCATTTCGTTTGCTCTTCCCCTGTCATAATTGAAATCATGATCTTAGAACTGGGCTTACTGTAATAGAATCATAATCGGTCCATGTAATATAATTTCGTTATATATTTTCTTGGATTCTAAGTGTCAATCCAGAGGAGAGAACTAACATGGTCGGTGGCCAACAGAGCTTTGGGCATATTGTGCAATGCAATAAGTCCTGTGCTAGATGACTTTATTTCAATTTGGGTAGAGAACAGCGCAGAAACAGGGCGATGGTCAGAGAACTTGCTTTCACTGCGAAAATATTGGAGCTGCTTCACTCCCTTCCCGTACCATAAAATTCGGTCACACCTGCCACCATAATCTATACCCTTTTACTTTGTTTTCTTCATGATATCCGCGAAAAGCATGGATTATATAGTAAAGACAGAACTATTGGTTCCATTTTTTTCAAGACAGAACTATAAGCGGTTACTATACCATGCTGGAGTTCTTTGCTTCTTGCCAGATCTGCTTGGATGGCCGCCGGAGTATTTAATGCAATTCGACGCTGGGTATTTGTAGGTGGGGGCAAATTCAATGTCACCCTCTTTCCAACCCTCAAACGCTCCTCCTTCTCTTTCTTTTCGAAGTTGGTCAAACTGCTGTAACGCCTTCCAGTCTTGCCCTACTATCAGCCGCCTTGCAGAACTTCCCTCCAACGATAGCCTATAGTTGAGATCCCCAAACCAGAATATCCGGCTGTTCCACATTCAATACTGAGGTAAGATTCTTCGGTCGCACCACTTGCGTGGCAGATTATTATTTATATAATAAAACTAAAATTAAAATAGATTGTTTCTCCAGGTGCCGCTTCTAATAATGAGAGAAATAAACATCGGGTAGATGTGTGAGGAAAAAGACTAGAGAGGATGTGACGAAATCGAAAATAATATCGAAATATGAGTTAATGAAGCTACATGTTGGGCTGTCTAACGTCGGTCACAGCTTTTTTTTTTTTTTTTGCACAACAACGTTGTCCCGGCAAATGTTAAATGCAGCTGCTACCGTGTCCACAGGCGTTTCATTGAAAATTCGTGAATAAATATCTTTTTTTTTTTGGCCGGATCTTGACCAAAATATCTATGATTTTAGCAACCAGAAGCATTGAATGACTAAGAACTTACTTTAATAGCGGTACGCACGTAGATAATTGACCTTTTAATCATCTAGCGAATCCCCGACCAGAATCAATCCCTTAACCAATTCATTTAGACTTTAATGAACTGACCGAACCATGGCATCGGTTTGACAGTTTTTCATCTGACTTAGAACTGAGTCCCAACCCTTCCTCATGTAAACTGTTACTGTATAATTAATGGGTAGCTCTAAACTTGCCATTGGAGTTATAGCTTTAAGCGAAGTTTCTTCACGTGGTTTGTTATACTTGCTAGGTTATTTAGTAAGATGTTTGGATTTCATTTTGCTGAACAAATGAATAAAACTAGACATGCTTTCTGTGTATTGTGCAGAGTTTGAGATAAGAGTGAACGGTGGGGTTTGTTACAGATTTTTGTTTTATATTGATTCAGGCTGCCAAGTGGAATTTAATTACATTTTGGAGTGGTAATTTGCTTTTCACTTTGGACTTGGAAAAGTTCAGTCTGTGCTTGTTCTAACCACGGGCAATCAGACACAAAGAAAGATCAACATGACAATAATAGAAGGATAGGGACAACTTACTCGTGGCCTAGGATGGTGAGAGGATGAGAATAACGATCTTCAGGCGTTCTGGGGAAACAAGTTCGCTTAAAAATCTCGGCAACCTGGTGATTTCTTCGACCTTTATCATTCATCTTCTCCCCGGCTGCTAAGTGGGCGGTTACAAAACAAAAACTTGTTCCTTCAATCAACATGCTAACTGCGACCGAACCTTTGTTTCCTAGACATCCCATTATGCCACAAGCCACCGGGCAAACTTTCACATTCGAGACATGGTACTTCCTCGGCAATTCCTGCCTTATCCACACACTGATGAATATTCCGACCATCTTCTTGCTCGCTAACAGCGTATACTTTTCTCCTTCCTGTATTTGCCATCCTTCTGTCATCGAATTCCCTCCGTGCTTGTTGTAAACCTTTCTGTCTTCTGAGTGGGGATTCCCCAAATAGCCATTGTGACCACCTGGTATTGAATTTTGCATTGGTGTTGTGAACCATGGGTATGCGCCCCTGCTGTTTAGAGTTCTTCCTATGAGCTGGTTCCATCTTCTTGCCACCTTGGGATCTTCCACTCCTATCACAGTCTTAGTCTTCAATGGTACAATCTCTTGAAACCTGAAATCGCGAAGCCATTTTACTCTTGAGTAAGTTTCTTCTAGTTATAGAATACGAAGGATTTGGATACTTGATCATTTATACATACCCAAGAACATATATATCCGCAGCATTCTTGAGATTCAACCACTCGTCCAAATCAACCTCTAAGCTTCCTATTGGAGTTCTACCAGCAACATTCCAAGTACCGACAGAGATCCTGAAGGAGGAAATGACTTGCGTTACCATGCAATTGCATATATAGGCAGAAGGCTAAAAACCGCAATCACTATATATAGTACTTTGTTTACTCCCCCCCCCCCCCCCTCAATGTGGAGAATTTGAGACTCACTTAAGCTCATTGGTTGCTATGCATGGGTCAAGTTCCATCGACTGAAATGAAAGATCGCCCCCGGAATAATCATCACTTCCATCTTCAGCTCCATCTGCAATACACATTCACCGATAATTAAAACCTTTATCTAGATAGCAGAAGAGCATACATAAAATTCTGATCCGTCCTTTTCTTCTAATTAAACCAATATACATGGGAAACCTTCTATCCCATTCAAACTGTACGATGGCTTGTCAAATTCCTTGAGCTTCATAGGAAAGCACTTGTGGAGACTCGGATAACTCAGCTTCTGTTTCTCAACGTCCGCGGCTGATCACAGGGAGAGCTCAGACGTTCAAGCTTCACCGGCAGCTGAAGAAGAAGCGAATAACCGTTTCTTTTACATCAAGATGTAAGCTGCTTGATTATCCATATAGGGTTTGCTGCTGATTTAGCCAGATTCAACACCATGTGGATCGTGTGCTGTAGAGGAATAGTATGTTAATCGCCCATATGAGGATGAAAAACATAGGAGTAGCTAGGCTGATATAGAATAGTCTCCTTAGCCAGTTATGCACGAGAGAGAACAAAGGATGGATCAGTTTAATATTAAGACAAGCAGGCAAGTAGGGAGAAACATCTCTGCTCCAAGACTTGAGGTTGAGCGGGTGCCAATTAAATGAATGGATCCAAAGGCAACCATAAAAAACAGATATAGGCCGCACAAGGTTCTATCATTTGGTTGATTATTTAGAGAGCTGTTAGGTGGTGCTAGTCACGTATGTCTCATGGATACCTACGTGACACTGTCCTCGCTTTTTTATTATTGCATGCTGAGTCAAATAATTTTTTATACGGTCAGATACCTTCTTTTTAGACCCTTATATATGATTGTAAATTAAATACATATTTTTTGTGATGTTTTTATTATTTTTAGAAGATCATACGGCCATGTATACGGCTAGCTGTCCAGATAGCTACGCATATGTTATGTTCCAATAATGCTATTCGAATAGATTTTTGGGAGCAACTGGAATTAAATTGAGCTCCCCCACCTGTCTCCTTTATTTTGTCCACGTATGTATGAGAACACAGGCTTGCTTCAATTATTCTCCTTCTAACGCTGAACACCCATCCTCTATTGTCATGTGTCGCCATCATCATGCGAAATTGCATTTTTGGCCCTCTTAATGCAATCCCTATCAGATCATCTTCCAAGATATCTCTTCAATTCCTCGCCTCTTCTCTTCTCTCCCAAACCTTGCCATCTTACTCTATCAACCGTCAACGTAACTTGGCTATTCCTTTATTTTTTTCACTCCATAGATGTTAACTTAGTTTTTGTTTTCTTGCACTGTTTTTTGTTTTGCTTTTTGGGTTCTTAGCTAACTTTGTATTAGCATCAATCATGTTCCCAATGAAGCTATCGAATTAATCATGGGATCAGGCTGTGAGTGGGTCCTTTTTATGTGGCGTCTACGAGACATCCAACGATCTCTTTTTATATAGTAGACTCTTGACCAGAGACTTAATGATAATTTATCTAAGAAATATCATTCAACCAAAAAATTACATACAAACGATTTCCTAAATTTCATTTCATACTAATAAACTTCAAGTGATTTAATATATGTACAAGTTAAACTTTCATATTTATACGTGGAATTGTGTCATTTATAAATTAATATTTATAAGTCAAACTTTCGTATTTACATGTCAAATGTGCAAATATTAATTATTTGAGACTCATCAGTATTAAATAAAATTTAGTGCACATATCTGTATTTAACTTTTCAACGTTAGATCTATGGGTAATTTTTTCATTTATTTAGATATTTTCATCAATTTTTGAATTGAAATATACTAAATACATACTGATATTTTTACTCAAGAAATTATATGCTTGTACAAAGAATTGTATTTGTTTTTTGGTTTTGGCCAGAGAATTATATTTGTTTCAATTACCAAACAATTATTTATAAAAAATAATATATAAAAATGTTTTAAATACTACCTCCAGTTCTAATTATAAGATCTCATTTGTAGACTATAAATAAGGTCTTATAATTAAAACCGGAGGTAATATTGCAATAAAGTACTATCTCCGGTCCTTAATATAAAAATTAGTTTGACTTTTAATTTGATTATATATATAAGATCTTAATTCTTTGTTTCTCATATTTATCTATTTTTTCTAAGGTAGTTCTTGTAGTAGTTACATATGTTAAATATTTTATTATATGGTAGTTCTAGTTAATACACAAAATTAGCAATGGTATTTTAGAAAAAACAATATTTATTTATTATAAATAACTAACTCAATTAATTTTCTTAATCTACTCAAATTAGGTAACTAACTCTTATATTAAGGACAGAGGGGTAGTATAAAAAGCCACATATAATTTTTCCTCCCTCAAAATACCCTTAATCAAGATAAAGAAGCCTTTAGCTAGTGTTCAAGCATTTGAAGCATCATAACAAATAGTACTCATAATTTCATGATTAGTTAGATTAAACATACAGGTATCGGGTCTCTCAATAATGTTCGCAGTTTTTTCTCAATAATGTTCGCAGTTTTTTAACTCTGAAAAAAAAATCAGACCAAAAAAAAAAAAGAAAAAGAAACATTGAGCCAGACTGCCAGAGGATTAGGCTGAGTCGACCACCGCACAAGATAATCTAACTTCAAAACCTCAACTTGAACATGTTAAAACTTCGCAATTTACATAACATCACTCTAAGAAACCTTAAAACTCTATCTTTAAACAGATACTCCTTCAGTTCTTAATATAAGACCTAATTGTTGAGTTGATTTTGATTCTAAATATAAGACCTATTTATCATATTTATCAATTTTTCTTAAATTACCCTCATGGATACTCCCTCAACCATAATCAAGCAGAAGAGAAAAGGAGAATATAAAAAAAAATGATTATAGTGTTTTAGAAAAAACATGTCATATTTCTTATAATTAACTAACTTACCTAACTTCCTTAATATAATCAAATTAATTAAACATGTTTTATATTAAGTAGCCGAGCAGTATTTTGTATGTGGTTGTAAATAAGATACAGATCTTACACATATTTTTGCTCCTGCTCTCTTCTCAGACGAAGTATGCATGAAGTAGTTGATATTTGGAGATAGATCATGCAGACTTAATTTGAATATCTTGGGGGATTCTTAATAAGAGGCGCATCAAAGGTTTTCCATATTCCAACGTTGTGTGCTCTCAACTCAGCGTGGCCTGTCCATAACCATTGGCCCCCGTCTCAACGACTCATGTCTCATTGGTATTCTTGTCGCCATCAGAAAATGCTCCTGTCTACCAAGCCTTCCGCATAAAAGTGTGTGTGTTTATATATTTATCTCTTGAAATTTCCCTTTTCTACAATATACTCTACTCATATACTTTGGGGGCACAATAATATTTATCTCTGGCCCATTATATACTTCATGCCTGTACCCCTATTTTCTCATCTCTGGGTACAACATATACTTATTACTTGAAGTTGAACCCGTATGTATTTGCCCAAGCAAATTTAATGACCTGACCTTAACTGAAACCTAGCCACAGCGCATGCGTACTTAGTTCTCATGACTTGTACTGCTCCTGATCAAATACAGCGAAAATTAAAAGATCATTGATTCATTAGAACTTACAAACCAGAATATATAAATTAATGCAAGCTCACGCTTTCAGATATAGATACATAATCAGTATACCTAACGAGGCTATTTCAAGAATGAAAAAAATAATTGAAGTGCAACAGAGATGTACTGTATAAAAAAGTCAGCATATGCACTTGAGAATAAGGGAAATTTATGTAATTTTTTTTAATAAAATTTGAAGGATATTGAGGTCAAGGTTGAGGATGACGCATAACAAATAGAAAAATGAGGGGGTGTTTGACAACCATAAAAAATGCTTCCGCAAAACGAGACAAACTCTTCTATATATTTACTTTGTAGATCATAAAAATATTTTTGAAATTATAGTTTGGTTTCACACAGATACTCTTAAAAATAAGGAGGGGAAGGTTACAATAGATCCACATAGCCCAATCGATGCCCAGACATGGTTCTGTTCACCACCATGGAGGCCACCCCGTGGGACTGCGACTGCCATGCCAGCTTCAACCCACATATATCAATATATCATCATGTATCAATAAGTCAACATTTAAGAAAAAAATATTTCATTAAAATAGTTTAAATGAGGGGAAAATGTGATTAAAAAGTAATGAAAAAAAATCTATGTATTTTAGAGAAAAATAATTTCATTAACTTTAGAGTATTTAATTGATGACATGGCTTGACAGTTCCACGATATATTTTGAACTTCACTGTTAGACACTTCCTTAGCTTCCAGACAATAAAAGAATCGATAGCTGCCTTTGTTTTTCCATAACGATCCACACAAGCTCAAGCTCTATTTTATTACTATTATTTCTGGCAAATAATAAGGGCAACGGGTTGAGAGGGGTAAATTATACTGATATTTTTTAATTAAGTAGAGTTTTGAGTTTGACATAATAAAAAAATAATTATTGGGTAGGGTTGCCTTCATGAGTTATGACATTCCAACTGTCATTAGATGGCACTTCCTCTTTTTTCAAACAGCTTCCATTCTCACCATAATCATAGCCCGGGGGTGGCCCCTCTCTCTGCACATGAATTTATAAGTCCTACTAACTCATCGTCAAGACAAACTTATCCCCCAGATATTAAATGCAATTTTCAAATTTCTAAAAGCTAAAGATTATCCCAACTAGGTCCGTTATCCATATCTAAATTTGCAAATTTAGGATATCATAGAATAAAATTTCTACAATCATAAATCATTCTGTGTAGTCTGATAAAGAATTCGAATAAACTTGAGACTAAATTTTTGTGCCATCATTCAGAATTCGTTTGTTGCCATACATATTCTATACTTTTTCAAACTATGTACTAAGTGGTTGTCATTTGACTACTTGGGATGAATGCATTTCTTCAGGATCAGGCAACACATCGTATCATTATTTTGTATCTACATCACATTATAACCCCCCCCTTTTTGTTTTTTTCCTCAATATGTAAAGACTTCAACTAAAACGAAAATACATAGATTAACTTAAGCTCACACTGTCAGATATAGATTTAGCCATGTAGCCATGCATAATCAGGGACCCAACAAGGATACTAGAATAACTATCACTAATCATGTCTATGCATCGCCTCCAAGAGAATAATCTGACCTAAATCAACCATCAGCTTAGCCATGTGCCTGCATGGAAAAGTTGAAAGCGAGACATATGAAGAGGAAGTTAAGTTTCAGTACACTAGCTGTGAGCCTTTTCTTCATATACAGTCTATACATTATAATGCAGACACTTCAGAGAAGGAAAACATTCCTTTCCAAGGTGAAATGAAATGGTATATCATAGATAGGGGTAAGTACAGCAATACTTGAAGGAAAAAATTGTGATGGCCAAAGTGTATAGCTGGTAAAAAGACGATAAACCTACAAGATATCTGTAAGACTCTATTATGTGTCGCCTTGATGCCACCAGATGCGTGTATTTGATGTCCTGAAAGAACACGAGGCAACTTCAAGAAGAGGCTGTTTAACGTCTGTTGTAAACTTGCAATTGACTCTTGCAATCTCAAGCATCCTCATTTAAATCACCACCTTTTTGCAGACAAAGATATAAGCTGCACGAAGAAAATTAACTTCAGACAAAAGGCATGATAATCAGTCAAGTAACACAATGTGGGTAGCAGGGTGCCTGGAAGCCAGAACTACATAGTAATGAACTCAATTCACGGGAAAAATGATACTTCTATAGTCCTATTTATAAGACAGAAAGAGAATATATTTTTTCATCCTATTTATAGAATACTGAGAAATTTTTTTTGTATGGATGTACAAATTTACCCTTCATTTATTATTGTGTTGATTTTGTTTGCATGAGGTATAATGTATATTAAATAGAGATAAAATTGGAAAATTATTAAATTTTAAATGAGAGTTAATGAAGTTTAAGGTTTTCCTTAGTCTATGTGAAACACATTGGAAGCGACTTATAAATAGGACCAGAGGAGTATGTTGAAAGTGACACAATATAAATAACCAGAATGGCAGGACAACTTTTACAATTGTTTTTTGGTACGTGTGTCATTTCAAAATGCATCTGAATGGCTGACAGCAAAAATTTTTAACAAAGCGAAGTGTGTTAACCCTAGGCATTGATGAACCACAGTAATGTTGCAGATTGTGCTTGAACTATATTGATAAAATCAAGACTTATCAACACACAATTCATAATCAAGCTTATGCACACAATCTAAAGACTTAAATATGAAATCAGAGTATTCAAGAGATAATAGGAGGACTTGACACAGACCTGGCGAGCAACCTGAGCAAGGCGCCGACTATCTCTTGAAGATTCATCCATCAAGCTAGATTTCTGTGGTTCAGAAGCACCATGTTGTTTCTCGTCCACCCTCCTCTTCATTGTGCTCTTCTCAGAATTTTGTTTTTCTTCAGGGTTGTCTAAGGATTCCTTTTTTCGTTTCCTACAGAAGGTGTACCTAAGAAGCTTTCTGTCATCTGCTTGACCAGAAGATTCATTATTTTCTTCAAATGCTTTTGCATCTTCCAAATCAGTATTTGTACATGAAACATCAGTAACCTCTGCTTCCATGTTACCACTTCGATCAGCTAATATCATTTCACTGTCCCCAGCCACATTCTCCAGAATGCATGCATCTAATGACTCCTTATCCCTCTCTGCAGTCTCCTGCACGAATTCAAACTTACCAACCATCCTGATATTCGGTTTATCACTGCTGGACTCATTCACAGGTTCCATGTCAGTCAAATGGGGCACTGGCTTCCTCTCATCTTCATCTTCACAACATTTGTCATTATTTGAGACAGATGAGAACTGCTTGAGAGTAAATGATGGTTTACAACACTCATGAACGGAAGATTTCTTTCTTACAGGCCTACATCTTCTTGTTCTTCTTGATTTGTTAATGGTACAAGACTTGATAGATGGTAGAGAGCAAGCAACTTTATCAGATTTGTAGTCTTCGTCAATGTGTCCTTTACAACAGGGAATAAAGCATGACCTGAGATAGGAAAAAGTCTTTCCCTTTTGTATTCCATGCCGCTTCACGTGCTTCGTTATTTTCCTTTTCTTGTTACTGGAGGATAGGGTACTATATTTTGCAACTTCCTTGTCACTGTCTGATGGCAAACCCACTATTTACATCAAAATGTCCATTTTGTTCATCTTGAGTGAGCAGCTTATCATTCAGCAATTTTCCTCCAATGCACGAATTCTCTGAGTACATCCATTTTTGTACAGTTCAGGTTCTTTGCCCCTCATAATGATGGAAGCAAGGTTAGAATTATGAGCACAATAGTCCTCCAAATTAGAGATGCAGCAAAGCTCAGTTTGTTTCCTTGCATTACAGCACTTATCATCTAGAACATTCTGATTCAAGGGCGCATTCTTCACATCACAAGGTGTTGCATATTCATGTCCTTGGATAGGAACGGGTAATGTCACGTCTTGTTTAGCATTCTCCTCAACAGACGCTGCTAGTTTTTTAATTTGTTCTTCGAGTAACTGATTCTGAGTATTCATTGTTTTCTCTGACTCAACGGATGCCACTTGCTCTTTAATCTGTAACTGATTTCGACTATTCTTTGTTTTCTCTAACTCAAGCCAAACCTGTTTCAGCTCTGCCCTAAGATCTGTTATAACATCCTCCGCCTCATTGAGTTGTGCTTCAAGCTCTTCAATTTTTCTTTGGTTATTCAAGGATGTCATCTTGCTTCTGCTGTCTGTAAAGAAGAAATACATGAAACAGCGGTCCACAAGTACTGCATGAACAATTCAGAAAAGGAATTTCCAGTAAACTAGAGTTGTCTTCCAAAACAAATAGCCAAGGATTCTATAAATCATTAAGATACGACTATATGCTTTAAGAACTATAAGCACAGTAACATAAACAACCCAGGCTTTTGGCTATGCATTAATTAGGAGAATTTCCTTCTTAATGCAGATTCTTTCATGAAAATACCAAAAAACTTTCTTTTCTGTGTTGGCTCCACAATATCATAGTAATAGAAGTGTAAGGACTAGCTCTCCATCACGGCAGAAAGCAGTAATGTCATGGAGTCTTTGCAAGAGAAAACAAACTAAAACATGACAGAAGTTGGCACTGTATGCGAGACTAAGCAACAACATCTTGCTAGAGAAAACCTTCTTCTGTCATGTGGGAAGACAGAAGACTCAGAGTTGTACAAGAAATGGTGAGCGAAACAAGCATGTGACATGATGAAAAATATATTAATACGGACTCAGAAGATACACATATAAGAAGAAGCTTAACCTCCATGAAAATATGCCTCCAAGCATATTATCATTCAATCTCAAGTCAAGTAGGAGTTAAGTGTCAGCTCAACTTATTATAAAGCACCGTCAAAGAAGCTATGGTTTGTCTGAGGCACGATCAATTCAATTGCAATCTTATTTTCATAAAACATTCAAATAAAATAAAAAAGACATAGGCATCTTAAAGATACCTAGAAACATGGAGGTTACAAAAGTTGGGATTCCTCTGAAGCAAAAATAATCTTCAGATTTGAAGCAAACAACTGATTACTAGCACAATTTCTATAGGAAATTCATCAATCACAATGGTGGAAAAAATTGAGTGCAAGCAATAGTATTCAGTAAACAATACTCAGCCATTTATTCAGGAAAAACCAAACCCTGCTTATCATCACATGTCAATGAGTATAGGCTGTGTAAATTTATACCCAACAAGTACTCTTCTGATCCTATTTATAAGTTACTTCCGGCATATTTCACACAAACTAAGGAAAACCTTAAAATACATTAACTTTCTATAAAAATTTAAAACATAATAACTTTCTAACTTTACCCTTATTTAATATATACACCTTCAAAAAAGATAATTATCTACACTATAATAAACAAAAGACAACATAGTACATTCAAGCTAAAAATTTAATGAAATAACTTATAAATAGGACAAAAAATTTTTTATGGGAAGAAGATCTTCACAAAAGCAGCAACTGTCAGATCAAGTAGAACAAACTGGAGTTTTTTTTTTATTTTCATTTTTTTAATGCAGCCACCACAGATGAATGGTTGACAGGGTTGTAATGTTCACACCTACATGGCAATAATAAACAATTTAATAGTCCCAATAATCTCTTATTACATTCAACATGGTAAGCACATCTTGTTGAAATTGAATGCCTTTAGCTCTATAATTGGTGTGCATAAACTGAAGACATCACCTTCGCAGTTTTTTCCCCTTCTATTCACAATTTCACAAATGCTGTTTCTCGAGTATAGATATGTGATATTGAATGAATGAATTAGAAATCTCATGTATCTTTTCAAAGTGATAAAATTTCACAAGAAGAAACAATTATATTATACCATTCATATTGTCCTTACTTAGCATGCATATAATAACTGTCAAATCAAATTTTTTAGCGTGTTCCATCTAAAACTCTTTATTTTCAGTTATGGGAAAACTTACA